AGGTCAGTTGAAGTCGTAAACTCGACATCCATCTCCTCTGTAGACTCACCCCTGAACTAAATTTACAGGGAGGTCAGTTGAATTCGTAAACTCGACATCCATCTCCTCTGTAGACTCGCCCCTGAACTAAATTTACAGGCAGGTCAGTTGAAGTCGTAAACTCGACATCCATCTCCTCTGTAGACTCACCCCTGAACAGGTCAATCACGGCAGAGCCCCGCATTACCTTGACAAGGCGATGCTACGACGAGAGGGCGCCCGGTATCTCGAAGGTTCCGTAGAGATAGCTGATAGGCTCAGTGTCATTCATCCTCTCTGCACGGATACACACACTTCAGGATCAAGCCATCGTTGGGATGCCATTCAGTTAGGGAATAACAGAACTACAAGTGATTCGGTCATTCCCGTATCCAGAGAAGCAGGCATCCGATGGCCGGTTTGCTCAAGCCCCACATCCCAATCCATTGCACTCGCCAAAAACAGCATGCACAATGGTTCAGGCAGTGAAAGATGAACAAGGACAGCCAACCCGTAAGAAACCATCATTATGATAACCATAAAATTCTCTTTTTTATTGCCTTCGAATCGGTAAAATGTTCTGATGCTAAAGAAACTAAAGTAATTATAACTGAATTGAAGATGAATAAATGTCTCTTTCAACTACATATACTGTAATTTTATTTAAGATCTAGTTGCAATTTTTCAAGTGGTATTTTATATTTCAGATTGTTACATTGATTCAAAAAATTTGTTAAATACTGGGGATAGGAGTATGACTGGACGTAAGAGAGTCTTACCTCGGTTAGTCTTCGTGAATCTCTAGAAATAGATTGACCATGATGAGCGTTGTGGTAGTCTTGTTGGGAAAATCCTGGTGGTGGTGGTGGTGGCATATCATATGATTTATAAGATAAATCAGCATTTTTCATTTTACGTCCTGAAAAAATCACAATGAAAATAATTCAATTTATAATGAAATAAGGGATTTGTAACTCAATAACAGTGGGGACGTGAATAGTCCCCCTTCCATTCCTAATTTTTAAATGGGGCAAGATATCAAAGTCGGATGAAATTTAAATGAAAAGTAATCATTTTTGGTACTTTTTCTTCTATGGTATGACATCACTCGCCGCAAAAAGGCGCTCTAAACTTTTTTTTAATAGAAAGAGGGATCTTGTGTCTTTTTGTTCAAAAGGTATTTGAATTCTCTATACAACGACCTAGGCAAAATGATAATATGTAACTTTGCAACCAGCTTCAAAGTTAGTTATCACGTGTTATACAAAGTTTGTAACGTGTAAGAGAAAGAAATTGTTCACTGAAACGAATCGTATTTAGAATAGAATTGAACCAAAGTATTTGACAAAAAGCGCGTTTCTGATTTTAATCCAATTAAGGAATTTTTTCTGATCGACTGATGAAAACCCATACCATGTTACCCTAGTAACAGAGGGTATTCAATTCAGTTTATTGTACCAAGAAACAATAAATACTTATAATTGGGGACTATAACTAACTATACAGTATAACTATAAAATAACGAAGATATGATATTTTACAATAAACAATGAAACGCAGTCAAATATCAAATTGGTTACAGAAAATACATGTTGGAAACAAATTCAAGTGTAATAGAAAAAATGCAAACTATAAAATTCCACTAATCAGATTTTTTCAATTGATATTTGAATTTTGTAATGGAATAGTGCTTCTTTCATTTGGTCATTTGTTGGTATTTTAATTTTTGATTCGGGATATTGTGTGGCATGATTGTGAATGTGTCCAATTTGAATAAAATTTATGTTTGATTTCTTTGTATTATTTTCAACANGTTTCCAGAGGTTTGATTATAGATTTACTTGTTGTTCCCCAAACAGAAATAAGATGGTCCAATGAAAATTTTATAAGTATAAAGTTTCTAATCTTATACATTTTTTCAATGTGTTCATTCCATGACAATTTCCCATCAATGTATAAACCCAAAAAATTTGTTGCTATTTAGTAGAATTATGGTTAAACATAATCGAATGTCTGGATCCAAACACATACCCAGGCATGTGTATTGGTATTCACGGTTCGTTGTTATTGCCTGCTAGTTCACCGGATTTGCCACCTCTCGATTTTTTCCTTGGGGTTATCTCAAATCGAAAGTTAATTTTTCAAAAACTCTTTCCCTACCAGAACAGAAATGATGTCTCTCGATGCCCGTTTCACTAACCAAGTTAACATCATCAAGAGATGACTAAACGAAAGTTTATGTTACTCAATCTGGGACAATACTGGAACGTAAAGACAGAATTAACTAAACTTGTGCTAGCATTACCTCAGAAACATTCCAAAATGTTAGAAATGAGTTCGAAAATAAACTGTTTCACCGTCAGGTGGTTCAAGAACATTTTGAACATTTGCTCAAACCATTTTTTTGAAATACAAACTGAGTAGAGAAAAGTATCTTCTGTATAATTCAGTGTTCATATAGAAGTATTTGTTTCGAAAGAATTTTTTTCTTTCGTGTAATTAAATGTTTATATGAAAGTAGCTGTTTCAGGAGGACTTTCTTTCAGTTTGTGTCCCACTTCTATTTGAAAAAATGAAGTTGATACCACCTTCTCGGAAGCATGTGACGTCATTTTTTTATGAATGGTACTGAAAATGATTCCTTTTCATACATATTTTGTCCGACTCTGATATCTTGTCCCGTTAAAAAATTAAGAGGGGGGAGGGTAACTATTTAACGTTCGCCCTGTATATGTTTCCCTAAATTTATCACGTTTTGACATTCCTGAAATTTACCGAAAATTACTCGGTTTATTTCACGTTGTTTTTTTGTTTTATCAAAGTGGATCAGTCATATCGAAAAATTCATGTTTTTGAAAAGTTACACTGCAATTATTTTAATTTGTTCACTTGAAAATGGTTTAACTAATCGAAACCGGTCGTAACAAACAAAAAACTTAGTAGAAATCAGACAAAAGTTATTTTCTTTATCCTAGATTCAACTATTTTGATATTTAACTGACAATAATGTGAAATAATAATGACTTACTTTTATCGGAAAAAGTATATTTGGAAAAAATGGATCATTTTCAAATAACACATTTTCGTATGAAATGTTGGTAAAACTACATTTAGGATATAAGGTAGATTATTATAAATTATACCATGCTAAATATGTTTTCAAACTTGTATCCGAAAAACAAAAAAGTGAATAAAAACTACAACATTCTAATAAACTACATAGTAAATGCTTGAGAAGCTACAATATTAAATTTTTGAGAACAACTCGAACAGTTCGACCGTTACTTCATCGGCTTTGATAGTGTCTACCGCAGTAGTAGACGAAACGCCAGGCATAAAACCTGCAGACCACGGCCAAAACAACCGGAAAATAGTTTTGACACGATATTGTATTTATTTAAAAATTACTAGAACCAATATAACTCTGAATACAACTCAGGTGCAATTAAAGTACAGACAGAACAATTAATCGAAAATCACTTCAATAAGTAGATGCAATTATTACTCCATTATCGGTTACTTATGTTTGAAAGTGTCTTCCAATCTAAAGATAAAAATATAATGATGTTTACCATTTATATTAAAGTAATGAATGTAAAAAAAAATTGAAATTAGATTTTATACATTATTGAAGTAGGCACAACTAATACCAACAAAAGACTGTATCGTTGGTGGCTCATTTGTTTGATATGTAGTCAGTAAATTCAATAAATTTTTCACATCCATTAACCAGATTTTGGTTCAAAGAATTAATCGAATTCTTATAAAAATTATAGTGGCCCTGATTTTTTTTCAACTTTTCAACAAGCACCCCAAATATATACATGTTGTTGTGTAAAAACAGTATTCTTTCATTCGTATTTTAGTCTGTTGTAGTAATAAACAGCTTTTGAATGAATGGAAAAATACTTAAACTAGAATATGCTTCAAAATGACAGATAGCAAATAAAATTCATTTAATTTTATTTATTCGGTACAAAACTTCTGGATAGGATTATGCTGGAATGAGGAAGTTAAAAATGTTCAAGGAAAAATTATTAACGACAATTGATAAAAAGAAAATGTGAACATTCAAATAATTATAATTACATGATCATCGTTGAACTAATAGCTATTTATGATATGAGTATTAAAGGTAAGGTTTTATTTTGTGAGTGATGTCACTCACAACTGTCCTGTTTTCATAATAAAATAGACAAATTTAATATTTCTATAAAAACACATATTGACATCGCTTGTAAGTTAAGTATTTTCATCTTATCGCATTTGCTGGGAAGTGGCCGTGTCAGGTGACGCCAAATCACCTGGTTACCAACAAACAGTATTGTTTACAGCTCACAAGTTTTATTTTAAGTCACATTTAAAGTTCTTGCTGGTGTTTAATGTATATAATACATTTGTAACAGAATTTAATTGTATCTACATCTATTGTTCATAATAAAACTTCCTTGAAAATTGAATAATTATGTTAATTATAATAATAACTGTTTTATTAAGAAAACATTGTTCCTATTTAAAATATGTTTATGCAATTTACTTTTAAACTCCATCACTCACTGGGGACTAACTGAATACGGTCCGGAATTTAGACGTTTACGGCTCAAATAATCTAACAGAATGATAACAGATTTCTACACATCTACTGCACATCTTGAGGGAGGGGTTTCTCACCGGCCATGACTCGGTCCGGCAGCTGTATATATGCAATTTGTGTTTATTTGGAAATATACTACTCTTGTTATATGTCAGTTATATAGCAAGGCAAAACTGTGAATAAAAACATACTGGAATTGTAAAAAATAGTATCGAATTATTTTTTATTTATATCACAAGATATTAATGTACAGGATAGCAAATTTATTCAGCGATATGTAATGCGCACTCAGCACTGAACTCATTAGTACATTTGAAATCAAAATGCACAATAAACTTCGCTGATTAAACTTACTTGGCTTGTTTTTAAAATGATTAGCTTCAACTCATACATGATCTGTCATTTGTCAATAATACTTAGGTTCAAATGATTTTTTCATTATCATGCTCTTTCTGAACGGTTAATAAGAGTCGTTACTCTTTATCAGTATTCATTTACGTTTTATGTAAATTTGTTTAGATCAGAATATATGATTCTCTTTCTAAACAAACTCAATATTAAAACAATTTTTTTTCTGCTATCAACAGTGAGACAATGTTGTTAAAAGCCATGCCCTTATATATGAAGAAAAAATTACCTGTAAAATTTCGTACTGATGGAGATAACACTTTGATTTTATTTCCGAAAACATCCTCGCCCTGAATTCTTCTCTGCGCCCTATTGCAACAAACAAAAACAATTACAAACGTGAAAATGTTTTCAACTAGAGTATCCGAAAAAAAAACTACCGTTTCAAATGTTACCTACCTATATTCTTTTTCATAGGGCCTGAAATGTGCCATTTTTAATAAACGAATTATCACTTCATTGAAATAAAATGTATTTTATCTGAAAGGAAGGATTCACACTGCTACACCAGTCAGTTTTTACTGGTTTGCAGTTTTTATGTCAAGGTCTACAAAAAAGATGTTGTTTTCTTCAACTTTCATTCTGCTATATATCCATGAGACGGGAAAAAAATGAGAAAAACATACCGAATATGGTGGGTTATTTAAATATATGTACTCTGGAAATAAGATTCTATTTTTAAGGGAACGAATTAGTCCAGTCTGAGCCCTTGTTACAAAAAATGTTAACTATTTTCCGCAGGTTTTTTCTTTAATATCATTTTTGAATAAATTAATTGCAATGGAACCTCCCCTATTTTTTTCATCAGGCTTGTTAAAAGGTGTCTCAACTATCAAAACTAGACGAATCAACTGAATCGAGACAAAACAAACACTAATTGAAAAGAATATTTATTAATCAGCAAGTTGTCTGCCGCAGTTTTCCGTCATGGTTAATAAACTGGTTGAATAGCTATCTTTACAATAGATATCAGTTAGTTAAAATTAAGAATTATGTTTCCAATTCTGTCCTTGTCACATCAGGAGTTCCACAGGGATCACACTTAGGTCCCATGTTTTTCAATATCTTCATCAATGATATAGGTACCATTCTCAGAAATTGTTAATTTCTCCTTTTTGCTGATGATTTAAAATTATATACAAACATCTCAAAACCAACTGATTGTAACAAACTACAAGAAACCCTTAATTCCTTGCGAAAATGGTCTGAATCAAATAGTATGTTGTTGAATCCTGATGAATACCAAAGTGTTACTTTTAGTAGAGCAAATTCCATAATCCAAAATGACTATCATATTGATAATAAGAACATCAAAAGAGTATCGGTTACATTTGTTCAGCATATAAATTCAGCTGTAAGCAATTGCTCCCAAAAACTACGTTTTGTTTTTATAAATACACAGAAATTGTCAATTCTTTCAACAAAAACATTATACATGTCACTCATATATTCTTGTCTCCAATATGCCTCTGTCTGGAGTCCTTATTACCAAATTCATATTCATCGTCTTGAATAAGTACAAAACGGGTTTCTGAGATGTATTGCCTATAAAATGGGCATACACCAGGGTACATATAATTATTCCCAGGTCTTGGAGCACATTTCGATTAATACCTTGGAAACTAGTCGAAATCGATCTGATTTAATTTCATTACACAAATTAATTCATGACATAACATCATGTCCAGAATTTTTGGCACAAATCAGATTTAGATTCCATTATATCCCAACACGAAATTGTGAAGTTTCCAGCATTCTCTATCACAATAGCAGCATATCACGAATTTTGAGATTGGGTAATGTAGTTAATTTAAATGGTGTATGTATAACTGGTATGAGCTTATGTACTTTTAAAAAATCTCTTGGAATGACTACTCTGTGATACCTTGTCGTATATATTAGTATCTTTTTATACAATTTTTCATATTGTATATTGTCTATATTTTATAAAGACGGGTTTGCCAGTTTATAAATGAAAAAACAACTTTTCTGGACAAAAAAATACCATAAAACTGATACGATAAAAGATATTCCATAATCTAATAACATATTTTGATTAGTGTATATACTGAGATATATGGCCTACCAATTTCCGAGAGGGTTTCACCAGATACACTATTAAAAAATAATTAATGAAGTGATGATCAATGTTTATGTTCCACATTGAATTTCATTTTGATTTATACATTTTTTTGTGCTTGTGATGCACTGTTTGGAACCTTTAGTGTAGTAATGAATATTACTGGATTTTTTTTCCAACGCCAACCGTTATTTTAACACCTCGACACGTGTTTCGATCACCAAGTGATCATCTTCAAGAGGAAGATCAAACTGTAGTTTGTGAAAATGGGGTGGACGGATGAATCCACGAAACAAATAAAAGCTTTTTGCCCTTAATGGTAATCGAACTGAAATGGAATATAAAATATCAATACAAATATAGCTCATTGAAAAGGTTGTCATAATAATTATGTACACACCAACTAAGTTGGCATCATAAAGAAATGTCCATCTTGAAATATTTCTTCTCCTGATAATGCTATTAGGTTGTCTTAAAAGTTTTGTCTGCTTCAATGTCGTGTTTTTGTCCATATCTCAATATTTATTCTACTGTGTCTTGATATATACTGATCGGTAGGGAATTTTGTACTGTATACATTGATGGTGTTCATCTATTTCCAAATTTTGATTTTTTTCCTGTTTCCAGCTTATTACTGGGTGTTTCAAATTCGATCCTCACCATTGGGATCTCAGAAACTATGAGAGATACGAAGATAGTTAAATTGGGGCAAATTTGCGCATTTACCTGACTAACAATATGCCGTTGAGAAAGTTCTGAAATTCCGAGTATATCCGGAGCTATACGGAAAAAACTGAAATTTTGGAAAATAGTTTTTATTTTTTTCTTGTTACATTTTTCGAAGGATTCGAAAATAAATTGCACAATCACGTTGTCACTTTTTCCCTGCTACATAATGGTGTTTTTAGATTTGCTATCTGACGTTTCGTCATCCGGCCACCATCATCAACTTTATTTTTTCTAATGGGCGCTACAATGGATTCTTTCTGTTTTAAATAGAACCAGATTTTACCTTTTCAATGATGTATCATAATTGGAGATATTGAAAAAATAATTATTATCATAATAGGCTTTGACTTTGATATTTCTAAATTTGATTTTCAATTTGTTACACTCAAAGCCAAAACTGGCTTTTACGAATGAAGAAAAAAGAGATATGACACAAATTTATTACCGAGTTTGGTTCGTTTGAAAAGCCTAGAAGAGTCTAGAACCAACCTTGCAGCTATTTTTGCTATGTTAACACTGAAGAATGCTATGACTGTTTTAAGAGATACTATTGTCTTCAGCAAGTTCGTCAAGCTTTCGAGTGATTTTTTTGCACTGCGACAATATCTCTTGTCAATAGACAAAGTTTTTCATTCCAAAAATGGTGAATAATTAAAAAAAAAGAAACTGCTTTAAATTTGTCATAGTTGTAAAAAAGAATTGTCTTTCATTGAATAATGAATAATAATTTTAACTATGCTAACCTCACTTATTTGTTTCCACTCGCTAGCCGGTGGATTTTTTTAAAGGTGTTCATTTTTTAAGAATATCTCGAAAGCCATTGAAAATATTCTCCATCAAAGAAAGTTCTTCAAAGGGCAGAAAAGTTAAAAAAAAGTCCAAATTTCTGAAACTGTAGCACTTGTATTTATAATTTCAATTGAGCAGTCAAGCAAGTGGTTCTGCTCGTGAGTGTGTTGCTTGCACTTGGCTATACCGCACTGATGATAGCTAATGAGCCAGAAACACGTGTCTAGGGTTTGCAATTTTTTTTTCGGAGTGCTTTGTCCATCAATTTTCTGTTTATATATATTTTAAAATCAACAAAGTATTTAGTGAAAACGAACAAGGGAGTTCTGAAAGAGAAGAAATTGTCAAAATTGTCTGACCTTAAGGCATAATCCAAATTTCCAAATCTCACTGATGCAATTCCATCTGAAGATATTGCACAGATTTTCCCCCCGCAATTTTCAGTCAGCATTCGTAATCTACTTCTCAATCTTCCAATGTCATAATTTGAAGGGAGATTAGTAATTGTCAAAAATGCAGGAGTATTCTCTATGACCTGAAAGAAGGTAATAGTACCAAACAACTCCAAAACATTGAAAACAATCTATATTACTTTGCTCTTATGTGCAGATATATCCTTCATCAACTCGGCAAAAGAATGATGTTCATTTGCACATAATATCAGTGCGTCAGCAACATTCACATTATGGACTAAAATAACTCTAATTTTTTTACGGTATCTGAGATCAGATAGATCTGCAGCAAAATTAACATCACCAGAAATCAATACTACTCCAGATGGGGCAGGATGTAGCTCTCCAAATCTTCTCAAGGCCTGGCGTAATTTTTCATCTGCTGCATTTTTAGAAGTAGCTGATACATGAATCACCATTACCTGATAAATATTTAATTTGAATGACTTGTCATTTATATATAAATTGCTCAACAACAGAACTGAACAACTCGAATATCTTATTTGCAATTTATTTAGAAAGATACCATCGTTTAAAAATACATATCATCGTTGAAAATATTCTGTACTACTCATTAATGATACCATTCCTACAAAAAACCATGAACAATTATTGAAATAATGATGAACTCTCAATACAAGATTCAACGAAAAAGGTGGAGAATATGATGCAGTTGTCGATTTTGATTAAATACTTTTGCTTAACAAAACATTGTAGAGGTTAGAAAAAGTAACAAATTTAACCCAGTTCTTCAATGTACTTACCTTATTCGCAGTCGTACATAAAATTTATTTTTTGTAAGGAAAATTGATTGAATTCTGAATAATGTAAACTAACAAATTATTATCCCGGAAATATATTTTCTTTAAGTTTGGCATCGATATTAAATAACCTCAAAAGCACATTCAAAATTTACTTCTCCTGATCTGGCATAGTCAAGGATTGCTGTTTCAAATTTGCCACACATATTGATTCCAATGTCTTGTATGTATCTTTTTTTCAAACAATCTCAGCCTAAGCCATTTAAGATTCTGAAGTAGAAGTGATAGACTAACACCATGCGAAATCACTAGAAAGCCTAGTTGCTAAGTCACTCCTATATATAACCTATATAAATAGAGGGAAACATTCATCAAGCTAAATTGAAAACATATTGGGAGGAATGCAAATTCAAGTTGTAATATGCATTATCAATATCTCACCATATTTTTAAGACAAAAGTAATGTATCACATAACAAAATGAAGAAAAAAATTATTGAATAAAAAAGAATCATGCAATAAAATAAGTAAGGAGTGATTTTTCTTTTAGTTTAAAAATGATATTTCTGAAATGTGAATAAATTCGGCCATGTAAAATGGCAATCCATACTCTGCTAAAACAGAATTTGTTTCAGATGCAGTAGAAATAGTGCATCAAATAATGTGCATCAGATTTTGAAGAGTCAATTTGAATGTGGAAATTCAATTATGCTAATGGTTCATCATGGGACAATTATGAATTTCCACTTTCAGGAAAATTTCAATAGTTTTTAAAAGTAAACTATGATTTTCAGAATGCTTCATTTACATGAATTTGCAACTTTCCTCAAAGAGTAGCTTACTTGAATTATTTAACAGTAATAATGTAAGTGCATTGAAGAACTAAGTTGAATTATTCATTTCTGTTGTGGTCTGTTTAACATTTCTGCTCAAAAGTTTTCAATATTATCGCTGCTTGAGATATTGTGAAGTTTCCCTGAAAAGTTCAAAAAATCTGCTACTGCACTATACTCTACGACCATACTAAAGTATCATGAAGCTACCATTGCAACTATATACCCATTCTTTCTTCCTTCAGGTAAAACATTTATTACCTGAGCATCATGTAATTCTTGTATAATAAGAGGGCTTTCTTTTTTAACATCACAGACAACTACGAATTCCGACTCTCTATAAGTATGGAGAAACACTTCTCTTATCTTTTGTACTACAGCAGCTGCACTTTTACTCTTAGGTACATGGCAATTTTCTATATCCCAGTAGATACCCAATGGAGGTAAGTTTTTGGATCGTGTCTTATGCTTTTTTTTGGTTAAATTGAAACTTCTATTTACCAAACTCCTGTGAGAACTATTTGAGCTTTCAGAGGCCGTTGAGCAGTACGAATTATTTGCACTTTTGGAGAATCGTGGTGGTGGTGGAAAATTGAATTTTGGTTTTGCTCCAGTAGAAGGAAATAAATTTGCTTCTTTTGTTAAGGACTCTTCACTGGAGTCTTGAGTTACAGAGGCAGAAAAATCCATGATTTGAAATGAAAAATAGTTCTGTTAATTTTTCCTTACATAGTCCAGAATGAGGATATTGTTTTAATTTAAAATAAACCTAGTTGCAAATTTTAAATTTCTTCACATGTTTATTTTTAATTGGATCTTTGAAATCCACTGTTCTGTCAATGGCCTAAATACCGAATGTCATCTGTCGATGTGTCGAGTATCAAATCAAGAAGCAAGTAGAGTGTCAAGGTCAAGACTCACTCACAGAATAAATTGTTTATTATTCTATGGCTCACTTGTCAGGTCATTTGAAAATGTGTGGGCGAGTTTTTAAATTTATTGGAGATTGTATCGTCAATTTGAAACGTTAGCGCGTTTCCATTGATTGTTCTGTTGAGTCAAATACTCGATATATTTTTCATTTTGATCGTGCAAAGAGAGAAGTTACATTTTTGGTGAAATAACAGATTTGGAAAAAATATTGCGCACAAAACATACCCATAGTTGAGTGTAGAGTTGTCAAAGAACTTTATAACTAACTAACTCTATAGGATAATATAAGTTACGTACAACGAAAAAACTTCCAGAATAACATTGACAATATTTACAATTTCAACAAAGCATCATTTCTAATTCACCCACTGATTGAGTTGCGAAATGAAAAGGTATCACCTGGTGAATGAATCAAAAATTATAACAAAAAAAAACGTAGCTAGTGCAATAAGAAACTGCTAGGAAATATATTGATCTCAGGGTCCACCCATCCATAGATACATTTCTTATTCTCTTATTTTGTTACTATCAGTTGACTAGAAAAATGAATAACAGACATCTCTGAATTCATTCAAGGACGGAGAAGAGGAAGAAATTAAATTTCCTGGAAATTCACTTTCAGTATTTTTGATTACAGAATACGCTACCACTTAGTTTCACAATACTTCATCTCTGTTTTATTATTTGAGAAGAGAATTTTCACTTTGAATAAAATTTTCTATTGATAAAACTATTGTATAATCCTAGCTAACAAGACTTCTTCAAGCGATATCACATTGTCATATGTACGTTAACACGATATTCATTACAGACATTGTCCTGAGCAAAGCTGTAGATGTCTCTGCGATATTGCATCAACTTTTTGACTTCAATATGTTATTTGTTATTTCCAACATATTCTGGAAAAGATTAGTCTGTGTTTCTGTAATATGAAATGGCGAGTTAGATGTGGAGGAAATATAATTCAGTTACACGTTACATCATCCAGAACAAAGTCATTTGTAATCTACTCTTTGGTAATTATAAAGAGCAAATTACTTCCTAGATTTATGTTCTCAAGATCAAATGCGCCGCAACTACCTTTGAATTCTGTTTTCTGTGGTTTTATGTTTTATATGTTGACATTTGAGGTTATGGTTATATATTTGGTGTTGTGACGTTATGATTTGGCTAATGAGTATTTTTAAAACAAATATGTTAATTTTATTATTCGGTTTCCCGACATATCCAAAGTATATCACAGTCTATTGAACGTTACAATGCCGCCAGGTCCCAGAAGAATATCGCGAACAGTGCGCCCAGCTCCTATGGTTCCACCTGTTATATCCAGCTTTGCTAATGAGCCCTGTGGTCAGAGATATGCTCCTCTTGGTGCTGGAGTTCCAACACTCCCAGCCTTAGAACAACCAGCTGCTCCAAAGCACTTTCCATTTCCGTCTACACCTGTTGATAACGATTTTTTTTTCGAATGTCTCTTGTGGTTTTTTGCACTAGTGACAGCTGGATTACAATATTTACACTTATATAGGACTGTCTGGTGGCTACCCCACTCGTATACTAGACAGGCATTGGTACGCTTTTCAAAAAATAATACACTTTTGAAAGGTTTAAACAGTACATTTTGATATTTTTTTTTCGAAAATCTGTGTTCAACAATGAAAGGCCATTAAAATATTGTTGAGGAAAGGAAAGGTGGATACAAGCAGCAGCTCTTAGTGGCACATTTTTAATCGTAAGAATTTCATGATCTCCATGGAAAATCAATGATTCAACTGCTTACAAATTATCAATCACAACTTATGACTTGCTACTGGTGCATGAATCCACCTCAAGAAATTCTGAATGAACTTGACCCCATTCCAGAATTTCAAGTATATTAAATTCTTGCTATATTACTGTTTTCTTATTAAGTAATATTTCAAGATATGTGAAATATTCAAGATGACTTGATTTTTTTTATTTATACTGAAGTGTAATTGTTTTTAGAATTTTTATTTAATTGACCCATACCCGGTTTTGTTCATAACTGTGATATTATCTCGAAGACTGGTTTATATGATTGGGTGTATAATCCTGAACAAGATTCTTCCATTAAAGATTCAAAAGTTGGCCCACTATTATTTGAGGTGAGAATTGTCTCAATATATTTTTGTGAATGCCTATTATTCACAGGAAAGGAAGATTTTTGGATTTCTACTTCTCCATCTTTATACAAAAAATGTGGGAAATTTCCGAAAGAAGAAACAAAGCAATTGAGTTCAAACTGAACACTTTACAAACGGAAAGAAAAAGCTCTCCCAAAACAACTACTTTCATATGAACATTGAATTACATGGAAGAAAAAGAACTTTTGAAAACAACTGCTTTTATATGAACATGGAAAATCACTTTTTTCTATTCAGTTTGCCATATAAGTGAAATTTTACTCTTTCATATATTATATTGTTTAGCGTTCCTATAAATGATATATGATTCAATCCCATAACGAATGTTTAGAGTACAAATTGAATAAAAATTTTTTTTAAAGTAGTAGTTGTTTTAAAAGTACCGTTTCTTTCTTATAATTCAATGTTCATGTGAAAGTAGTTGTTTCAGGAGAGCTTTTTTCCAAGTTGAATCCGAAAGTAAACCTCTATGTATGATCTACACATGTTTGTAATGAGTTTACTTTGAACTTCATTGATTTTTTCCTTCGAAAGTTCATACATTTCTATAGTAGTAACCTTTATTGTAGGATATATCTTAATCTTACAAGATATAATAACTAATAACAATTTAAATTTCCACACAGTGCCAGAAGCATTAATAACATTGAAATCTGTATATAGATTATAACAATAAAATAGATAAAAAGATAGTAATAAAAACTATACACAATTTATAAGAACAAATGTTGAAACCAAATATTGATATAGTAACACACACATACATATATACATATTTTCGTACCAACTAACGCTCTAGATATTCCAATAATTTACTTTGATACCCTCTTACAGTATTTGCCTCTTTAATGGTATTTGGAAATTGTTATATTCCCGTAGTCCCTTGTAGAATTTCTTGGATAAAGGAAAAGTAGAAAACCAAAAACCTTTCTTTTCAAAAACTAATCGCTCCTAAAACATACGCCCTTGTAATTTGAACTAGTAGACATAACTAATCACGTTAGGAAAAAATACGTTCATCAGTTTAGACTGATTATACTGCTGCTGCTGCTACTCCATTCAGTTCAAAAATGAACTAAGATGACAGATAGGTATCCTTTTTTTTTTTTTTTTCAAAAACTATACCTCCCAATTTGATCCCCACAAACTTTATTTGAAAAAATGTAATCACAACATGTTTCGCTAGCACAGTAGCTTTTTCAAGTGTATGAATACTTCAAATTATTCTTACATTAATATTTATATACTACAGGTAACCATAATTGAGACTACCTCTGAACCTCTACCTAAAGTATCTGTTGAATTATGATTACCTAAACATATTACCTCACATCTACATCAATAATAATTCTTTCTCGGCTTTTAAGAAAACAAGTTCAATAATGGTGATCTATTCAAATCCAGTTGGTCATTCATTAGAATGTTTGAATTTTTAAGTTTATTAATTTCCATTGCTTGCAAATGATTCAGTTTCAAACCTTTATTTTCTATGTGCAAAATTTTGAGAGATAGGTATCCTCCTTGGTGTTGATGCGGAACTGAACTATCGCAAAATTATGCCCTTTCCTACAGTACTTCTGAAATTCAAAATGCGTTTATATATTCAAGAAACACTTTATTGTGAGATTTTTGCTATATAGGTGCTACTTCAGGTGTGTCTATAGACAGTCTTTGTATCGGCTATCAAGTTTCAGCCGGTTCAGTCACTATGATTTCATAATTGAAATATCATTTATGTAGAAAAGAGCACCGTCTCCTGATTTTAACACATGCAGAACATATTACAAAGATTATCATTTACCGAACATCGCTTCTATTTATATTATGAAAATATAAATCATTATATTCTTGATGACATTCTTGTGCAAAATTTCTGAAAAAACCAAATCTTTTTTCAATGAGAGCTTTTAAAATTGTATTTTAAAACAATATGAAAGACTCAGAAACCGAAATCAGTTATGAAAGCAAAAGATCCTTTCAAAAGCTAACCTTAATTCATATTATAAAACTCGTTGAAGAATTGAAAAGTTACCAAAAAAAAATTTAATTTGTGTACTTTACCGCTTCTTTAGAGAAATATATTAATTTTTTCCCTCTTTCATTTTTCAGGATCTTCCTATTTTGTCTGTTGTTATTCAGTTTGTCCTTCAGTACATATTTTGTGATGCAGAATCACCAGTTGGAAAAAATGTTATATCTCTGGTACCCGTAAGTAAAATACTTTGCTGTTCATTTGTGATCTTCATGGCATTCTCTCTTTAAAAACTAAATATAAAAAATGCTGTTTTATATGCTAAATATATATAGACAAAGTCTCTTAATACAAACAAGTATAAATGAAAATGAGTAAATATAATAGAATAATAGAAAACATTAAAATATACATATACTAGACAAATAAATATTAGTTCGTACGGTTACCTATAGTCGAAAGTATCATCAAAATACTCCTGAACTGAGTAATAGACCCCACCAATCAGAAGCATTTTGACCTCTTTTCTGAACTCAATGTACACATTGGTTTCTTTAATTTCAACCTGCAGGTGATTTATAAGTTTGATGCCAATGAAAATAATCAAGTCCCTAACTAAGGGTCTCGTGGAAATAGGCAGTTCTATATTGTTATTGTGACTGCGGGTATTATGAGAAGAAGTGTGGCTCACACAAGACAAATGGTGTTTCTTTATTAAAAAAATAATTTCCAAAATGTATCAGGAGGCTACTGTTGAAGTACTAGGAGATTTGAAAAGACGTTTACGTTATAATCGGGAAGCAGCTTTGCACACGTATCAGACAGCCCTTCTTTAAAGAACAAAAGTCATTTGAAATAAGTCTCTGTAGCAGACTCCCCAGAAGGCAATTCCGTATCTAAAATGAGAATCTATAAGAGCAAAATAGGCTGTTCTTGCATGGGCATAGCCTAGTTCTGTAGAGGTGACTCTCAGCTCGAAGCAGTCTGCTTAAGTTTATTATACGGTGTTTGAACTTCAATTTATCATCATACTTCTCATGCTAGACTTTGCTATTTCCAGAATTTTGAAAGCATCCAAAAAACAACTGTCATGTATCAATGTCTTGCTTTGTCTGGCTGTACTTTCAGGTACATTCCTTAAAGCTCATACCACAGTAAAATAATACAATCAGTAGGCTCTCTTACCACGTGATCCGCACGAGTTGCCGGGGACCTTCAACCGCTCTTAGGATGAGATTCTCATCCAACGCGTTCAGTGCTGTAGTATCGAAGGATTCGACGGTACCACGGGCATTGGATTAGTTATAGTAAACGGTCGGAAATTGATATTCTGTCTTGTTTATTCGCTGTTGTTATTATTGTTTTTAGTTTTTGTATTTGGTTATGAGTAATTTACCACAAAATATTCTAGCTCAAAACTTTCTTTTCCATAGACTGGTAATGTTCCCCTTGAGTAAGGAAAGCTATAGTATTGAGTTGATTAGGAAACGTACATTTGTGGGGGAATCTTGGTAAATCTGGTAAAGGTAGATTCAAAAGTGTATTTTTTTTCCATATGAACCAAGATACACCAACAGATAAGATCGTATTTTTTAAAATTTAGCGCGAAAATAGTCTTCAAAACTTCTTGCCCACTTCAAAACAAATATTACATAACCTCACGGACAAGATATTGAGAAATGACAAGTCGAGGACTGTGTCAAAAATATATCGGTCAGATTAAGCGATTCATTAAAACCCGTTTTAAAGAACACGCAGCACATATCCAGTTTATAAGACCAGAAGAATCTAATTGTCGCTCAACTCGCCTTGGAGAATGACCATAAAGTGAGTTAAAACTGCCTAAAATTCTCTAAATTGGTACGTGACAATAGATTTTTCGATGCTTTTGAAAGACTGGAAATAGCAAAGTGTCTCATGAGAACTATCAACACTGACAAAGGTACCATTACAAACAGCCCAAATCAAATCAAATCATACTTTATTGTCGAAAAAGTCTAGTTTTGTTGACAAAGTAAAAGATACACAGTACAGAAATGAAGTATAGGCAGAAGTACACACAAGCATGTAAAATATACCTAAAATAAATGTGCACCTATAGAAATTGTTATTTGAACATTTTGTTTACATACACATACATGAATCACGAATAAAATTTTGAATAAATGTAAAAAAATGAATCAAATATCGATAAAAAAATGTTCCTAGACCATTTTGTCAATTTTTCAACTTATATATTACATTTATGCCTCTGAATATCTTATTATTCAAATCAACAGTTTTACCATGCCATAAAATGGTGGTGTCGTCTGCAAATAAAGTAATTTTTCCAGGAGTGTGTACACTCAGTAAATCATTTATATATACAAGAAAAATAGTGGGTCCTAAAACCGATCCTTGAGGCACTCCATAGTCGAAATTAATATATTTTGAAACAGTATCGCTTTAGCTTTTCAATTATTTTTGCTAGAGTCGGGATGAGGGATATTGGACGCCTTTCTGCAAGGAAATTATCACAGACTTTTTCAAGAATGAAAGAAATTTACTGTTGCGAAAGGAAAGATTAATTAACGGGACAAGAGTTTCCAGTGCTTCTCTTGGAAGATTCTGAAATATGTTCATTTAGATGACATCGTATCCAGATGATTTTTTATTCTTAATATCCTTAAACACTTCAACAATTTCATCAATACTAGTATCGTATAATATAAAAGTATCTCTTGTATGACAATTATGGACATTGATAAGAGGGTTGTAAGGGACAGATAGTCCAGAGGAAATAATTGTACATGAAACTTTTTATAGGTCATAATTAGTGCTTACATAGTCAATACAGGTGGAGGAATAATTACAAACTCGAATGTTTGATCTGTTTAAAATCTGTTATTTTCGTTAAACAGCTGTCGCACCCCTACGAACGACAACCCTCAGAAGTCGAAACTTGTGCGAGCTAAGGACTAACGAGGTTTTACCTTTTAACGTGTGATTCCTATATTCTTAATATCCCTAAACACTTCAACGATTTCATCAATACTAGTATCGTATAATATAAAAGTATCTCTTGTATGACAATTAAGGACATTGATAAGAGGGTCATAAGGGACAGATAGTCCAGAGGAAATAATTGTACATGAAACTTTTTATAGGTCATAATTAGTGCTTACTTAGTCAATACAGGTGGAGGAATAATTACAAACTCGAGTGTTTGATCTGTTTAAAATCTGTCATTTTCGTTAACCAGCTGTCGCACCCCTACAAACGACAACCCTCAGAAGTCGAAACTTGTGCGAGCTAAGGACTAACGAGGTCTTACCTTTTAACGTGTGATTCCTTACACGGGTTGGACGATAGCGAGTGAAAATCGATCGTTCAGCCTGGGGCTTGAACACATATCTATTTGAGTGAGTGAACAAAGCACCCACGTCGAACCGACCGGCTACCGATCTGACGTGCATGTTTAGGTTGAATGATTGTAATATACTCATATAAGAGCTTGTGTACCTGCACATTTATCATTCACATAATTTATATTTAAATCTCCACCTAACAAAACATTTGATTTCGTTAGGTCATTCAGTATTACTTCTAAATTTTATATAAATAAATTCACATCAGAGGAAGGAGACCAATATAGACAAATTCCATAAATTTTTGAATTTATTGATTTCTCTCTTAACTTTGTTAATGATGATCTGGTTTATATATTTATTTTTTTCAGACATTATTATTTAATTTGTGAATTTACCAACAGGCAATATTTGCTTTAGTGCTAGAGTCAAATTTCTATTATCACTAACATTGTTAGTGTTGAACATAATCATGACAAAATCTTCAGATCCATATTGTATCTTGAAAGATATTGCTTGTTAAGTCCCCCATAGTTTAACTTTTTATAATTCACTCTGTTAAAATTAGAGGAACATCTCACGAGAAAATTTCCAGCAAATTTCTACCTGAAATCATTTATCTGTGTCAGAAAGTGATAGTGTACTCTATTAGATATAAGTAGAGATTTTTAGACTGGGGTATTAGTTTTCTTCATCTCCTGAAGACGTCAACTTGGTTGGTGAAATATGCGTTGAGAAGAATATTGCAGTTCTGGTGTTTGAGAAAAGTGCTTGTTTTGAAATTATCACTCTAAGATGATTGGTGTTCACTGCATATCGTCTGAACTGTGCTACAAATCGCACATTAAAAGGTATGACGTCGTTAAAGCTTTGACAATTTTTGAACTGTGAGGGTTGTTATATGGCCCGACATATGATTAACAGGAGCATGAAACATAACAATTTTCATATTATTCCATATTATTTTTCCAATACGACTGGTATATTTAATTGCCATTTCAAAACTAATCTATTTAGCTTCAATCGAAACATTTCAAAAGATTCAATATTGAACAAATGAAAATTCAACTCTCATATATTTGATTCCCTTTATGAATATTGTGTTTTTATAGGTTTTTCATGTATTTCATACCTTTTGGGTTCAACATTCATCCATTTTTCGAACTGATTAACTGGAGTTCTGCAACCCCTCCGCTTCATGCATGCAGCTCAGAACCTTCAGAGATTCGAAAAGAAGTGACGAGTCTCATAACAAATTTCAATTGTAGACTGAAGGAAATACTTTTCTGTGCCATATTGAATGCTTACTATGCAGGATTTATTCCATGCTGCTTTGCCCAGGTGATGATGTATTTTAACTATTTCAGGTTAAGTCTGGTAATAGTTTATATTTGTTGGAAGTAAAATCGAATGCAGTAGATTTGGATTCAATACATGATATGTTTGCTGATTAGTTCTTCATTTATTATGCCGTTTTTAATCGTCCACAATACTAGAACTACCAGACTGATATCACTGTAGCAAAGTCAATAAAAAAGTAATGTTAAGTCAAGAATATATGGTTATTTGCTAGTATGAAACGGGGTCATTTATAGAAATCAGGAGATCGATTTTTAACCCTGTAATGTTAAATCACTGCTCACTCATCAATAAAATCCGTAAACATAATATCCACAAATTATTTGCTAACTATTCAGTGAATAAAAATATGATCTTTGCTAAAGATCCAAATGAATTGTTATTTTATCCAAATATCAAAAAAGTATGATGATGTTTATTATTATCTAATCTAATTTAGCAGAGGTTACTAAGTGAAACATTGTTTTTAAAATGCTTGTATTTTTAGATTAGAAAACCACATTAATTCAAAAACTATATCTACAGCTTGTGAAATGTAGGAAGAGACTTGAGAATTCTCTCTCTCTCTCTTTCTCTCTCCCTGTCGTATTCGCCCTCTTCTAATTAACGCACGTCTAGTGGGCGAGACTATAATAAAATTTAGAACTCTTCCTACATTTGACAAGCTGTAAATTTCATATTTTTCAGATAGTATAGTTTTTGTGAAAAAAATATATGAATTTTAACAAAGTTTTCACATTTTATTAAACACGGTGATTAAACTTTAAACTGATATCAGTTGTTCACTATGTGGAGCAATTTTGCTGAATTCTAACTGACCTAAAATCAATGTGTATAAATTCTTAGAACTTGTAGTAGGTACTATAAATCTTTAAAGTCTGACTGAACCTTGTAGCACCTGTTCTCAAGAACTTTTAAAAACTTGAAATCTTCTGTTGCAGCCCACCCTTCATTATGACATATTATGGTCTGCCCAACATATAATATTTATCTTCATAAGTAGTTTTATAGCTTTGTCTATGCATATCCTATCGCTGCGATATTGCGATATTTTACATCGATCCGCTCTGCATTTGGGAGCTTGGGAGAAGCTAGAAACTGGAAGGACCATGCTTTTAGTTAATAACACATGGAAAGAGGACATATTATGGCCTTACGGTGCCCTCGTTAGGTATGGTAAAGACATTTGGAGAGCTCAAGGGGACTGTAATAGTAGTGAACCTGGAAACGTAGGTTTGAAAAGGTTCTATGTGAGTATATTGACAATTTACTCAAAGTTTTGTTTTTGAAAGTAGATTTTTTATTACACACTATTGAAAACTTATTGTATATTTTATTATTTTAATCATCAAGTTTTTTGTAATTATAAGTACTTTTAACTTAAGACTCTAAAGCCGCCAAACTTATATCATTTCAGCATCACTCATATGTTGACAATGAATAGTGTAATATCTGCTCAAGAATGAATGTATACTTGCTTGAAAGTGGGACTTTTTCACAGATACCAGGTGATATCAATTACTAATATTGTCCACCACTAGTATCACTTTCTTAGCATGATGCCTGTTAATTAATAATTATCAACACCAGTGATCTGACGTTAGGATACAGAAAAAAAATTCATATCTGTTGCACGTACATGCTAACAACTATACCTACATTCTCAACCAGATATTACTCTACCGCTCTTACCTTCACCTGTGGTTCCCCTGTAAATTATGTCTCATCCTAAGGGGTGTGTATGTGAACCCACTTAATGTTACTACCTTCAGGATACCGGGCGCTTTCTCGTCAAATAAAGTCAAATAAGTACCGGTAATGTAAGATAGTGCTGTGATTGACCCCTACTCCCTAGCTACTCAAGGGATCCTTTATAGACTATGATATATCATTAGAAACCAACGTCGAGTCTGGAGAAGAGATGAACTCTAAACGACCCCAATTGTCCTTTCTGTTACATGGGATCAAGGGCAGTGACTTATGGCCTTAAGAGCAGGATGCCTGACGAATCTGCTTGTCACCAAATTCTTGAGCAGCAGATGTAGAATCTGCATCAGGAGAGGAAATAGGCTTTCTCTGTGCAGATCAACAAATGCTTATACTCAAACGATCATTCACCCAAACTAGAGGCAAAAATCCCTGCATAACTGAATCATCAGGTATAGTTGACTAGCATGTGGGAAGGTCGCTGTGGTCATTAAGGTAGGAAACTTGTACCTTGAACACTCAATAACTTCAATATCAACGAATCAACTGGAATCTCGTCATGAGTGAATGGAGGTACAATTTCAGAGCTGGGCACATTCCAGTCTGCATGGCTACCGGTTAGCCGAGAGGATCACGAGAGCTTCTCCTAGCTAGAGGGTTCAGTTAGTGCCCTGCAGCCATGAAAGGGCGTCTTCCTGAAATGTGTACCTGACAATGGTACTTGAAGACTAACAGCTGATCAGGTCCTGACTTAATTGAGGAAACTATACCATGGTCTGTCAATCTTGAAGTAGATTATTCTTCACAAGATAATTCAGGCCCTGGTAGCAGAGCACCAATTCTGTGTCAGCTCCTCCATGAAACGGATCAGGTTTTTGGAGGAGTTTGATTGGCCACGATATTCATGTGTAGTTGATTTATACCGATCCTAACAACTCTCCCTCCACCACTCGATGTCACCCGACCTTGAGCTATGCGCACGTCATATGACCTTCAATATACTAAACGACCTTGGGCTGTGGGTCATAGTGAGTTATGACCTTGAACATGAAGTTTGACCTTGAGATTGGAATTTACCCTCGACATCGAGTCGGATTTGGTGCTAATGTTTCAGTCCATCAAAGCGTTCAGTCCGTGTTGCCGTGTTTCGTTCAGTCAGAACGGGGATTCAGTGGTGCAAGAATGTATTGCAGTGCTGCTCTCGACACTTTGACAGCGAGGTGTGCTGTACTCGGTTTGAAGCACTCGTGCTTCATAGTTTTAGAAGTGATCTGGACTCATGGTCAATGGTACAATATCTATGTGCCATGATCCACACTTTGTACCTTCTTATCAACCTACCTACATATAACTCTAAATCGAAATATTTTCTTTGCGGAAATGATATAAGTCCTGTGGCTCTGAGATCTTGGTACTATTTATGCTTAGCATTGCAAGTGATGAATTTTTTTCAGTACATATTCAAGAATCCTACCAACACTATGGGAATCAATCTCCTTGTTTTGTCCTTCATGGTTCTAGACCAATTAATTGTATTGGCCAGTTGCACATACTGGTACAAAATTGTTTCTTTGACATTTATTCTATTTTTCAACTACAATATATTGTATCAGTTATTGAGAGATTATCTGGTGTGTCATAAAATTTACAAGGAAGAAATCGACATGCATAAAAAAATCAACATGCGCTAGACGATGGTTTAGTTTCTAACACTTTAAATTAAAGTAAGCCAAAGATTGTTTTAGAGTCTCAGAATATTATTATTTGATTTTGACTGAACAAAAATTGTTATAATTCATCATTATGTAAATTTATATTGTGCGAATAAACGTATTTATGACTACCTACATCGTTTGGTTTTCATGACAAAAAAAGAGTAACCACAATTCAATAAGGATCACTTTTTTCAGGACAATGCAATAAAGTAAAAACTTACATCAGAAATTCCTTAATAGGTTTTCTCTCAACCAACTATTTCACCAATACAAAATTTTGAAGCATTCAATAAATACTTTATTGAAATTGGATCAAAATTATCTGCAAGCTTTGAACCAACAAGAGAACCATATATAAGATATAACGCATTTTCAAATTCAATGTTTTTAAAAATCCGTTGAAGCAGAAGAAACGGAAGAGGTGATGTGATATAGTACGAGACGAATTGTATGCAGGGGGATAAAAATCACATTCGAGAATACGTAAGCTATACCGTTAGCCACCAAAAGGAAAAATTCTGACTGCCAAATGTCCTTTTAAAAATAGATGATGGACAATTTTGAGTATCAGTTGTGAGAAGAAACGCTATCGAAAAATATATTGCCGTCTCAGACTCGAGTTGTTTTACATTTTTTGAAAGGGACTATACAAACTTTGTTGAATTTTAATTTCTATTGTTATATTTTATCTCTTAGATATGTGAACTTAGTTTTGCTCAAATTGTGTTTCTGGGTATTTGTGTTTTTGAATTGACAACAGTCTCAAGAAAATCTTGTAAATATTCCCATATTCATAAAAATTGGGTAATAACCCAAATTTCAAAAATTAATAGAACAACATAATAAGACAGTCAGTTTTACTTTGATCAGCCCCAGTATGGATTATACTGAAAAAGCTTTCACAACCTGAAAATTAAACAAACTTACAGTTGACAAGTAGCCTTTACCAAATATCACAGAATAACTTAATGAACTATGAAACTGGCAATAATATACAACCGTTGATTTAGCGATAAGATCCTTAAGATAGAAAAAAACATTTTCTTGATGAATGTACAAATTCTGNCTTCCAAAGAGTTTCTTGCTTCCGTTAGAGGTTGAGTCTTGTTTGAAAATCATCAGTGTTATTATTAGATTGACTGGTGCCTCAGCTATACTTGTTTCCTTATAACAGTCAGTTAGTTTGGCGCATGTTTGACAATACAAACTGATAAATGTGAAATTTGAAAACAGTAATTTCATACCTAGGACACCTAATACTACAAAAGGTGTAGTAAAAAGCCAATCCCGAGAAAGTTGATTGCATATTTATTTTCCAGAACCCATAAACGTAAGAGAAATTTAACAATTCCTAGAAGTAGCAGGTTATTACCGAGAATTTATTCCAACAGAGATCAAACCGTGTCTGAATACTGTATCGAGGAGAGATACATACGTACTAGGAAATAAATATTTCGAAAACAACTACTTCCCTGGCTAATACCACGCTGAATATTATTTTTTATATAATATTGTATTGTACTGGATATTATATTATACTTTCAATATCCAGCGTATTATCCAGGTAAGTAGTTGTTTTCCGGCTGGCAGTTACTTGAAACCACGGTGTAGGTACTTGGGAGAGATGATTTTCAAGATTTCATTTCAAAATATTCATTTTCTTATACGTATTTTTTGTTTCTCCTCTAAACAGACTTCAGACACAGTTTGATCTCCGTTAGAGTATTGCTACGTGTGATGTTTCTTTCCCGCTTGAGGCTTTGTTCACGAGATGTAGCGGTTACTAGTTAACAATCTTTCTCTTAGAGGCAGGTTTCATACATGCAGTAGAGCCGTTCCGGAATTAATCGAGTCCCACGCACTTTGCTGTTTGGGTCGGGTCTTTCCTGCAGTGACGAGAGGTAATACCTCGAAACCAGTCTGTAGGTGATCTACTCGATCGATTTCATCATGATCCTGCTATTGAATGAACGAGAAACTCTGCGAGACTAACCTCTAAGAGGTATCTTGCATGTTTGTCAGATATAATTCAATATCCAGTGTGGTATTAACCGGGGACATAGTTTTCTGGCAGCCATTTACCAGCACCTACAGTGTATATTGTTGGGATGCTAATACCACGCTGAATATTATTTTTTATATAATATTATGTGGTACTAGAATTTATATTATACTTTCAATATCCACCGTGGTATTAGCCGGAGAAGTAGTTTTTTTTTTTCGTCAGGCAGTTACCAGAACTCACGGTGTAAGTAGTGGGAGTTTCTTGCCCGCTTGAGGCTTTGTTTACGAGATGTAGGGGACGGTTTCATACATGCAGTAAAGCCGTGCTGGAATTAATCAAGCCACAGTTATTTTACTGTTTGGATCAGATCTTTTCTGCACCTCGAAATCGCGGTCTGCAGGTGATCTACTTGAATCATTTCAGCATGGTCCTGGTCTATCGGATGTAATTCAATATCCAGCGTGGTATTAACCGGGTAAATAGTTGTTTTCCGGCAGCCATTTACCAGAACCTACAGTGTAGATTGTTGGAAGAGAGTAATTTTTCGATATATTAATTTTCTTATTGTATTAGTATTTGATCAACAAGATATTTTAGAAGAAATAAGACTCTAGAATTATCTATAAACTATTTATTACATCATTTGATGCACAAAAACATACAACTTCCAAAATATCAGTCTTGCATTATATATAGATATATATCGCACATTCAAACAAATTTTGTATATTTCACAAATCATTAAAACAAGTTACATCATATTTACAAGATTTTATAATAAATGCACATTCTAATAGTCACACGGCCTACCAAGAAATAACTAAGTCAATTGAAAACACAAAAACTGAAATTGCACGATTTTTGTTAATTGAGCAGCTTTTTGACGAAAATTTCCTCTTCAAATATAATCATGGTGCTTTATTAACGAGTGGATAAAAATGTTTGTACAAAATTAGGAAAGAAATTATGAGATTGTCACAGAGCACCAGAGAATTTTAGTGTTCTTTTATGCTTATCAATGTTTGAGGCAGCAGCAACTCAAAAATTGAAAGTTTTAATGGCACATCATTAGGAATAGGCTACTTATTTGTGTATGGCATCTGAGAATATTTCCCTGAACATTTGTATTCGAATTAAATGAATATTGTCTCATACAAGGTACTCGACAAACAAAGGGTCTCTGCTTGGTTTTAAATGGCTTATTGAATCGAAAGTATTCTTATGCTAAACTATAATTTTTGAAGGGTATAGCAAACTAATCAATTTTTGAGCTACTGTCTTTATGTTTTAGTATGGTCAACTGGACTTTTTATATGAATGTATAGGTACTTGGACTTTGATAGTTAAATTTTAACTAATAAACAATAATATGTACAACTTATTTGTCATATGTACAATTTTGAACTATACTACAAATGAAGTTACATATCCAGTTCAAAGATCAAATTAAAGCTATTGGTTTGTACAAAATACGTAAAACTATTTGATTACAAAGTCATCAAATTATCAAAAAGATTCACATTGTTAGAGATATAAGTTTAACCTACTTGATTTTTGGTTGAAACATATACATATATCAAATAAGTGACTATGAAACCCACTATGTACAACTCTCCTTGTCAAACCAGATATATAACCCCACACTGGAGATTATAGATATCTAATCTACACAAAACAAAACAATGTATAACCACTATACAATTTTTATACTTGTGTCCGTTTCTAACTTCGATAACGTTTTCTTCACTCTCAAAGCTGTCAGTCTAACTGCAGGATTTGGGTGCCAGCACTCATACATAACTTTCGACAAAGTTTGTAAAACGTCCTCACTTTCCCACCTCAATGGAATTTGTGGCCTGATTTTTTTCACACAAACCACTTGCTGCATATCCTCAAACGAAGGATCTGAAGGAACGCAATCGTAATATGGCACTTGATAATCATCGGCGTCTTTGAACTTGTCACCAGTAACACATCTCCTCGACATCTCCCACAGAACAAGAGCGAAAGCATACATGTCTGCCATCTTGTGGGCCCCAAAGTTGTTCATATCTATTGTCCTGTCAAGTAATTCCGGAGCCATATAACGTCTTGTTCCAGAACGCACATTAGGAGGTACATCTATCTCCTTGGTATCTGACAAAAATTTAACAGCCAAGCCAAAGTCCGCAATGCAACACTCTCCATTACGTTTCACTAAAATATTTTTACTTTTAATATCTCGATGTGCGATGGCGGGTTTTCCTTTGGTCCCGAATATTTCGGTATGGAGATGTGAAAGGCCAGATGCTATGCTGTAGGACATCAAGTAGAGACTGTTGGGGTCCAGGCTGTGGTCTTGGAGATAGTCGTAGAGGGAACCATTCTCATGATAGTCTGTGATTAACAACATCTGAGTCCAGCTGCCAGTACCTGAAAGATAAAAATATATAAGACTATGCAATAACATATATACTAGAATTGACTGCTAATCGAAAGCCGAATCAGGTATTAAAAAAAAAGCAGATGAGTTGAAGGGTCTACAGAAAGTACAGAAAAGAGAAAAATGTGGATAAAATGACCAGAGAAAACGATTATAAAGCAGATTGGGTAAAAAAGAGTGGTTGAAAGAGAAAAAGGGATGCTGATAAAGAATAAGGGGTTGGACGGTGAAGAAAAGAAAAAATGAGTGGAGATTTTAGAATCATGTCAAAAAAGAATGAAAAAAAGGCATATTGGGGAATAAAAACGTTAAAGAGAGAAAGAGCAAAATGATGGAAAGAAGGTTAGACAAAGATGAGACAGTGAATAGAGGATGTGAATTTCTAGCGAATAAAGATAATACAGAGTGTAATTTCACAAGGTCAATGAGAATAATCAAGTTTATAAGCTACAAGAACCAACTGACAATTTCTTAAATTAAGTTGGAATGAAGAGAACTATTATTAATAAAAAGAAATAACGTGAAAACATAAGGAAATAAGTCTTTTCACTTCTCAAATACATGCATACTTCTCAATGTACGTTTCACAAATGTAGGAACAATTTGGAACCCTGTTGTATATGGTTATTATTTACTCTCAGATCCCTCACCCTGTGCCATTTCAAGGAACAGTTACAGAAAAGAATAAAAAAAAACATCAAAAATAAAATAGAATGTGAAGCAATATTAAGAAAACATGGATGTTCCAACAAAAAAAAAACAGAAAATGATAAGGCCATTAAAAAGAGAAATGAATGAGAACAAATGAGCCTGAAATACAAAAAAGAGCTTCCTGAGCCTAAGAGAGATTTACCCATTTCTTAATAATGTGCCAACAGACCATTTAAACATTAGTTGAACAAATAAAATTGTACTCATAACTTGTTTGATCAAACATTATATTTTTGGTGGTTGGGTTGGCATGAGTGGTTTGTTTCACTCATTCAATCGACAGTTAGATGAAACGATGGTTCGAGCCCAGATGCTCGGCAATTGATTTTCAAGGCCTATCGTCCAACCCGTGCTAGGAAACGCACGTTAAAAGGTTAGACCTAGTTAACTCTCAGCTCGCACAAATTTAGACTTTTGAGGGTTGCCGGTTGTTAAGGGGGGCGACAGTTGGTTAACAGAATAATCAGATTTTAACATCTGACGGTTAAAAAAAAATATTCTCTTAACCAGCTGTCGCACCCCTACGAACGACAACTCTCAGAAGTCACAACTTGCGCGAGCTAAGGAGTAACTAGGTCTTACCTTTTAACGTGTGATTTCTAACACAGGTTGGACGATAGCAAGTGAAAATCGATCGTTCAGAGTAGGGCCTTAAACCACAGACCAACTCGCAGTCAATTCGAGTGAGTGAACAAAGCACCCACGTCGAATCGCCTGGCACACATCCTCTCAAACTAGCAACTAACGATCATGATCAATGTAAACTTTTTTTGGTTATGTTCATCCAATTTCAACTTCATCATCCAATGTCAACTTGACAAAATGGTAACTTGAAATGAAATACATTCAAACTGAACTCACCTTTGATGTCAGCAGCAATGAACCCCAGTAAATTGTCATGGCGCATCAGCACAGTCTGGTATATCTCTGTCTCCCTGAACCAGCTCTGTTCCTCCGTTGTGAAAAATACCTTGACGGCAACCCTCGTACCTCTCCACTTGGCCAACCAAACTTCGCCATACCTCCCCTTCCCCACTGAGTGAATCATCTGTATCTGTTTCGAAATAGTCCTTTGTACTAAAATGGGCAAACCTGATCCCGAGCCGCTGGACTGTTCTATTAAATTCGCCAAAGGTCCATGTATTTCCATATTTGGATACTTTTCCACTGGATAGTTTTTCGTGTACAAACCAAACTTTCGCTGTACTTCTTTTTTGCGATTCTTAATGAATACTATGGCTACAATAAGAAGTACCAGCGTGAGGCTGAACGTTATTGTCGTGAGAAGAATGATGAAGGGCAGGCTGTCAGGAGAGCCGAAACTGGGGGCTTGAGGCGTCGGTCGTTCCGGGTAAGTGGGTTTGAGGCCCATGTTGCACATGTCTTTGTCGTTGCAGCACTGGATGGATTTACTTTGTTCGTGAGGGACGAGATGGCCTTTGCACTGTAAAGAAAACAAAAAACAATGTTACTAAATCAGTATATGAGTTATGTTGTTTTTAGCTCAAAATCCCATGGCGCTTCATTTTTGTCATTTTCGGATCTTCGAGCGGAACCTTGTGGAACACCCAACGCGAGGTAGGTGTGACATGTGTAAGATGTATACGATGCAATATGTATGCGTATATGAGAGAGAGAAGGTGATGACGTTAGTGTGGAGTAGAGGAAAATAAAAAATGGTGACATATCAAAAAGGCACTAAGTCGTATCTTAGTTAATAATGGTTGGATCTCGACGTGTAGCACATTAAATGAAAGGGAAAAGAATGCCGAATTAATCGACAAAGAAAAGAAAAACAACAATAATGTGGTATCTTCGTTAATAATAATCGGATCTTCACGTTTAGCACATCAAATGAAAGGAGAAGGAATTCAGAATTTATCAACAAAGAAAAATCAAAGATGGTGACATATCAAAAGGGCACTCGCTAAGCGGTATCTTCGCCTTAGCGACTTTAGTGCCAAAAAAGGTTTTACGTGTTACAAGTGATGAAACATACAGGGTATTTTAGCTTGACGATATCTTCATTATTGAATGCAAATTAAAAAAATTAACCCTGATCGAAATACCCTCACTATTTCAAGCTTCAAAAAAAGTTATAACTCTCAAGGTATGCACATGATATTGTACAGTTTGATTTATTCTTGATCCGTATAAGCGTATAAGTAAGTACAAGTGTACTTGTACAAGTACTTGATTTAAGTGAACCTATCTTCTAAACAAGGTCTTGTATTTTTGTACCAATTTCCAAAAATTAATTTCGGAGACATAAAATGGATCTAAAGAAGATAAAAACGTTGAATTTTGAACTGTAAAATGGAAAATAACGGTAAGGTCGAAAACAACTACCATTATTACTACTGAATCATATCTACTATTTATTATTCGAACACGTGCTTGCGACTAAATCGCAGTAAATTTCCTATCCAAATTTGGAAGCAGGCGCCAGTGTAAATAAACTGAAGAGGCATAAATGCAAACTTGTAATTTGTAATACGGTCAATGTCTTCTGCATAACAAATATCATTACTGTCTCGAATGCACATGCACCGAGGCTAATGAATATTCAAATTGATATTCTTCACGAGCTGCCCAAAAGTGGAAAACAGACGATAAATGGTGGTCGGTATAATTGTTCCGGCTTGTTTGTTCTGAAAACGGAAAACAGCAACGCGAACAACATGCCGACAGGCTAGATCAAAATCGGTTTTATAATAATGGTTTTGAATACTCGTAGTAAAGATTATTAAAATACCTCTTAAGATAATACCATATATGCAGTATGGCTTGGACCCATGTTATAATCGACTTTAATAAAAACAGGCCAAGGTATAATCAGTACTTTTTCCTATCGAGCAGGGACAGGTGCTTACACTATCTAAACTGTCGTTTATTGTCTAATAAAAAATCGGATCTTCCAAAATTTGGGGTAATCATTCGACGAATATTACGACCCAATGATTATCGAGCTGGGTAATTTTGATTAAAAGATATTGGTGTATTGTTTACAACGTTTCTTATGGAACACATCATTAAAGGAATGATAATAATAATGTAAATTACAAATTATAAGTCCCCAAAATTCCTACTGTCGATATTTTACTTATTTAGTTGAAAAACCAATAATAAAAAATTTCCGGAAGATCGTGAGTTCGATCCCAACCACGACTAGATATTTTTCTCGAGAGAATTCATATAGTTGAAGTTGTGTCTGCAAAGTGACGGACTGCGAATAGCCATGATGCCCCCTAGGTGGCTCAGAGAGTTATCAACATTGCCTACCCAGACCACGAGGCTGATGACCAATGTAGTCGATGCCGCTGACACAAAAAAAAGGGAGGCATTAGTTTGTTTCAGACGTTTTGTCTGTTTAATTGTCATGTGTTTTCGTAGCTATAGACGGTAGCCTGGAGGGTTGACGTGGGTGGTTTGTTCCACTCGCTCAATCGACCGCTGTGTGAACCGGTGGTTCGAACCGCAAGGTCGGACGATCGATTTTCACTTTCTATCGTCTAACCAGTGTTAGGAATCACACGTTAGAGTTTCGACTTTTGACAGTTGAAGAGTTTGAAACAACCTAATATTTCCTGAATGTATATGAAAAGCCTTTTATGGGATCGACAGAAGACTCAATCTACGAATATCACGAGGAACGAGGTTCTTTAAGGCGGCGTTGCGAACCAAGCTTCGATATCGAGCGCCAAACAAAATTCGTCCTCCTTCTTTCACCGCAGCATTAACTGCAAGGCAATTAACTAGTTGCAACCAGAGTCCACAAAAACAAAGCATTCGTGATCAAACACTAGTACTGTTTCGACCCGCGATAGGTCTCATCAGTGTTACTGGCTGAACCATAATACATTGTTGGACTCGATTGTTGATAATTTAAGTTTATACCCTTTAGCGACCGTTGATGACTTCCAACCGCCATGTTGGAAGTCATCAAGGGTTGTGTTGTCTCCCGACGCGAAGCGGGAGACAAAATAACTATTTTCAAATGAAGAAATACATGTAAAGTGAGTGAGAATTATATCAAGGAGGTTACATTCAGCGCCATCTGCCCGCGAATGGATGAAGCAATAATGTCGATAATTATATCAAATACAGATCCCGATCATTCAAATGGAAAAGAAGAGTTACAAACAAACAAACATACATACATACCAAGTCAATATAAAGCGTGTAAAAATCGACTAACCTGCATAAGTCCTCTTTCGTCGTCAGAGAAACATCCGTAGGTGTAAAAGGGAACTTCCTTTTCTTGCGTGTCGTCATAGACTGCTTCCACTGAAGTGAAGCATACCCCTCCAGATCTGATTTCGCAAGTTCCATTGTGCTGGTTGTCAGGACAGTGTCCTTCACAGTAACACCGTTTCACTGAAACAAAAAACCTGAATTATTCGAAAGAACGTTTTTTTATATAGAAAAGATTTCTGTCCCTTTCTACGGCAATGGCAAATAATAAAAATATTTCTCCTCAACTCGGAAACAATAAAAAAACTATCAAGAACTTCAATCAGGCTTTCATTTACTATCGAATACATCGTGGTTTTTGTCTACGTCCATATTTGAATTTGTATAAATGTCGCTCTGTATGTAAAGTTTATGAATGATTTATTTTCGGTTTGTACGTGTGTGTGTGTTTTAGTAAATATGTCAACTCACGTTGTTTGGCTGATCTTCAACTGTTAACTCGAAGGTTAAAATGTTTTCGTTTTTATTAGTAAATGTCATAGTGATATATATCCTTTTTGAATAGTAAAATCAAACACTTGATATATATGCCCAATATAATTGTGAAATTTTATTTTTTGGACCATAATTATCTTCAGTTTCGAAATGACTAATTTATTGCCAGTGAATGATAAACATTGGCGTGACTTGAACGTGAATCATGAAAGGCAATAAAATTTTCAATAAATATCGATAGACTTAGTTAGTTTTATGTTAGTTAGTTTTATGATAGAGGATTCTAGTTCTCAAAAAGCTTTTCAGTTACGATTTCTTCATTTCACTATAATCTATATAACAAAAAATTACAGAAAAAAGAAATTTTTAATTGAATAAAAAAAATTACGTAAAACAACTGGTACTCTAAGACTAGTCTAGACATTCAGTTAAATACCGTAGATTCATAAATATAGATTTATATCGGAATGCTACTGAATATATATCAATATAGAACAATTTAGCAGTTATTTGCCTAACTACGAAAATTGAACTTCGCCTTTTAAAATAACTTTATATATATAGTTAGAACTAAATATTGTTATTTTTTTGTGTAGTTGTAGTAATAAAGACGTTTATTATTATTATTAATGGTAAAGTTTCATCAACCAGAAATATTCGGAAAAAACCAAACAAATAGTTTGAATTCTTTAATAGAAAATACAAAATCAAAAGTCTTTTCTTCATAATGCTCCATAGAAACGCCTCATGAATATCGCCTCAATTCAATTTTTGAATGTTTGATATTTTTATTGACAAAGATTAACTAACTCATATACCGATCGATACGTCAAAGAAAAGGTAGTTGTAGATGAAATTTGGATTTCCGCTTATGCCCGACTATATACGAGCACCTACTTTGATTCTTTCAAAAATTTGCTTCGGACTATTTATTTTCGACGAAACATTGAACAGAGAGCGTTATTTGTAGTTCTTGAGGGTCCTTTGCAGTGATTATTTCGAAGATATATCCATGAGTCGATTAAATGAGATCTGGGTTCAACACAATGGGGTACGTCCTCATTATGTCGAGTATCTGATGGGTTTTTGAATGTCACATTTGATGAATAGTAAACAACGGACCAATTAGATGGCCTACAAGATCACCAGACCACACTGTGTGCTGAATATACAAAGAGGAAAACATCAAGTTATAGTCTATACGAACAGCTGAATGAAAGAATAATGTACCAGGTCTGATAAATTCACTAGCAAATACAATATAAAACCTCCCACATATAAATAATTATCAGTTTATAAAATAATACCACGCCGCCCGTGCCATACAAAGAAACTGCCGACGTTCGGTAACTATTTGGTTTTCATGTCATTCGAATTGACTTGGTACACACTAAACACACAGAATAAATGTATACACTACTTTTGGATCACGCTGTAGCTTGCTCTCCCACGACAGCAATTACAACAGAAAAGCGTAGGAATTTTTTCGAAAATCGTGCCCACTCGTTACTCAAGTAGGCCGAACTACTCAGCAGTTCGTGGCCAAACAAAGCAAAAGACGCCATTATTGTCGAGCCCGAAAAAAAAAACACTTCTCACGACATAATACGAGAACAGAACCTACCATTCATGATATATTTTTAAATAATTAAATTTAAAAGTTGACGATATTGATACTAATACGAACACGTGTGCGGAGCCGAACCAACGTCCGGATATCTCAGACAGTGGCGGAGAAGACTGGCAGTTAGTTCTCGAACTCTTTAATATTTGGCAATATATTATTCATACATTTTTGTTGTTGGGCAGAGCAGGTTGAATAATATTACTCGTAAAAGCATGTTTACGAAGCATTCGTCGATAAAATATGCTCCTGGGGAGTTTTTATCTACCAAGTAAGTCAGTTGTGGATTGAAAATAATCCTGGTTAGAATAGGCCTAAGGCAGGGGTGTCAAGCTCAATTTTGCAGAAGGCCATATATTAAATTTTGAATGTGTAGGCGGGCCAGATTTAAATAGAAAAATTGTACTGAACATTTTATTTATTTAATTACGGTTTTCAAACACAATATCTTCACAATCACTAGATTTCACAATAACTACTTCGCAGTATAACTAGAATCCTTCTCCGACCGTATAGCTTCGATTACTCGACTCAACAGACTCACGTCGCGCCGACATACCCTTTTTTATCGATAAGGAAGGTTCTAGTCTAGACTCGAAGCGTATTTCCGCTTGGCGTTACTGACTATGACTAAGTTGTTTACTAGAACATAAAAGATTAAACTTCCTCTTCAAGATGATCACTTGGTGATTGAAACACGTGTCGAGTTTAAAAATAACCGTTTGGTGTTGAGATAAAACTCCAGTAATATTCATTACTACACCGAAGGTTCCAAGCATCACAAGAATTTCATTATTATTTCTTCTGCAGTAACAAAAAAAGAATATATCTAGAAACGAAAGAAAATTCAACTCGTTGAAAAACAATTTGAGTGAAAGAGATTGGGCGAACTCATAAACATTCTTTGAACTTTCCTTGGAGATATAACGCGCTTGTTATGGTAAGCATGGTATTAATCAATACATGGTGTTGTCGTAAAAATATATTCGTAAAGAACAAGTAGAAATGGAAAAAGTGGAGAATTCCTCTCGAACTTTTTTCTCAACATCAGCAACACCAACTGAGTTTTCCCGGAAAAATCATGATCATGAAAAAAACAATGCCTCAGAGTTCAAAAAATTATTTGTGGGCATTAACATATTTTGTTCATTTCGCATTATCACTCTATCCAAGTTGTATTTACAGTAACAATTAAAATTTTACAGGGCATTCCTCAATGATGTGCGAATATTTATGAAAAATTTCCAATTCAACAGTAGCATGCGTTGGGCCATTAACTTCAATATTTTCTACCAGTTCGTTGAATGAAAAATATTTTTGAGTCACACCATAAATTTCAAACAAGAGAACCAGCTCCTTTGAGTTTTTTTCTGTTGTTGAAATTGTTGAAAATATCTCCCTTCACTCAATAGGCATGCTTCTGATCTCCTTATGGAATTTCGCACTCGTTGAAAAATTCCAGGCATATTTTTTATTTCATCACATGCTGCAAATATTCCCCACAAAAATACATCTGAGCTATTTATTGAGGTCTAGATACCGTCATGGCCATTATTGAGGACCATCGTGGCCAATCCAACGATTTGGGTGAACAAATTTCAAACAACTGTGAACCACTATACTGAAATGTGCTGTTGCATCATTATGCATAACCCATTTTACAATCATTGTTGCCAAGGATATATTTTAGAGCAGCAGAGGCAGTTGTTGTAGGAAGATGAGGTGTGCGTCAAGTCGTCCAGGCAAGAAGAATAATCCAATAAACTGGTCCCATATGTTAACCGAAAATTGGTATTGGAAAAGGATTTCTGTTATGGCATAGATTTTTTTCCGCCCATAAAATTATTTTCATCCGTGAACAGCGTCTCTAGCGTCTTCCTTGTACAAGTTTTAGGTTGTTCTTCAATTTCCTGTAGCACCGCTTCCTCAATCTCAGTTATTCTAACACTTTGAGGTCTTCCTTCAGATGTTCCTTTTTGGATAGTACCAGTTCCCACAGAACGACAATGAATACTGGAAAAGGTTCGACTATTTGTCAAAGCAGGATTTGGACATATCTGGTGATAAATGCGTCTAGCGTTTTCAAATAGATATGTTCGTACCTATATGTGTAGTGAGTTTGTTTTTACTAAATTGCAGCAATCACTTTTTTCACAGTTAGCTTCAACAGTTTTTACATTTCCTGATGTTACACTAATGAGATGATACAATTGTGCCTATAGAAAATAGGCGACATTTTGATTCAATAGCTCAAAAGTGTATTTGTTCTCACTATCAAAAAGGACTAGACATTTAGGTAAAATTATTTATAAAAGCTAGTTTAGCAAGAACATTTTTCATGTAACATTATTACGATACCTATTACTAACATTTTCGGACAATAAAATGATGAACTCCTTTTGTTGTAAGTAAATGATTCAAAACACGAAGTAGATACATTTTGGTAAGTCTATTTCCCTAAATGATATAAGTTCCATAAAGATTTATCGCTGCGCTCGTGATTTGGCCAACAGACACAGTTGGCTACCAGCCGTCACTGCCTATCCCATACATAATAAATACACCCACAGAAGTGGCGGCCTTGAAACGGACGGTGAAATGTCTTAGAAATTGTTCCATATGTTGTTCCGAGAATATTGATGAAATCTATTGGCTGAAAGAATTTTTCATCCATTATGATGGTTTTGGAAACCCTTTAATGATAATTGATTGTTGATTCACGATTTTTCATTTATTGTGACTGAAAACGCATTCGGGCACTGCTTATCTCCTAATGAAACAAAAAGCCATCATGAGCTAATCAAATCAAGTATCAAACCTTTGAATAATTCTACTACACAACTAAAACTCTTATGTAGGATGTTCGCATTGACGTCGCAGCTTTGAAATGAATTGTCTTCACAAAAATTCTTATAGGTAATTCAACTGAATCCGTACCTGTTGGTTCTGCTTCACCTTTTGGTATCAATTTTCTTACTTTCGTTTAGCAACAAAATAACTTCCCAACAACAAAACTCTTCAATTGATCCAAATATCCACCCGATTAAAAGTGATATGAAACTTT